TCTGGCTCAATGGCCTGGTCTTCCACAGTTGTAACAGATGTCAGGAGCGGCTCCTCCATATCCACCTCTTCCCCTTTTTCCCTGCCCCATGCCCCTCCGTCCTCAGCCACCACCAACACGCCAGCACCCGCCGTGACCGAAGCCAGCAGACCTTTATTGATTTTGATAAAAAGGAGGAGGAGGGAGAGGGTTTTGCAGGATAGGGAAAAGGAGAAGGCGGAGGGGTTACTCCTCCAGGATATTGATTTGTATAGTCTGCCCCAGCAGGAGTCGGCTGTGGAGCCGCTGCAACCATCACATTCTCTGTTCTCTCCTTCTTCTTCTTTGTTGCTTTTTGTCTAGCTTCCTGCAGTTGTAATTTAAGCAACTGATTTTCTAATTCAGCTTTCTCATTCTTTTTCTTTTTTTTGTTCTTCTCGTAGTTTGCAGGTGGTGTATTAGATATCTTTCCCACTTATCGTAGTCGCACCCAGGGAGATCTGGATTCTGTCTCATCAGTTCTGCCACAGATGTGGGCACTCCCTTCAGGACTGCCTCGCTAAATAATTCAGTTAAATTAGAAGGTGTTCCTTTAGGATTTACTGTTGTGTGTCTCATCCACTTTTCAGCCGCCAGGGTAATTTAACCTTTGGGGTGGACTTGAGGTTCCCACTCAAACTAGGGGATAGCTGCTCAAGTGGATAATGGGTACTGGTCTCTGATTGCACGTCCTAACTCTGTTATTACTTGACTCAGTGGGACCTCGTTGCCCAGTTTACTGGTGCGTGCTACTGTTTCTAATTCTCTGGCCACCAGGGGTGTCACACACCTTCCCAGGATTGCTATAACGTCTCCTAGGACCAGGAACATTCCAATGGTGAGACCACTAAGTTCGGAAAACCACAATCTGCCTCCTGCAGAGATGCTTGGGAGTTTGTCAACCAGAGCATCTCTTGTCTCCCACTGGGAAGGGCACATATTTCTGGCGATCCTCAGATGATTGTAGTAACGAAAACATGTACTCAGCCTCATCAAGTTTTTTTTTATCTAATCCTCTTGTTGTCATTGTGTGGGTTCTACCAGAGGGATGGGCTGTTTGTGAGGACTCAACTTCTCGTAAATGGCCTAATGTGGTTCTTAGTTTGTCAATTTTGTGATCCATTTCCTCATCTGTTATCAATCGGAACTTCTCCTGCTCTTCCTATTCGGGTATCAAACATCGTCTAGCGGTCATCAATACTCTGACAGGTTGTTTTTCTTGTGTATCCTGTGGCTCATGCTCTAATCTCTCCATTCTGCGCTCGCATTGTTCAATCATTTCTTTGCTGTGAGCCACCGTTTTTTCTAAGGTTTTTTTTATCTGTTCTTCTATTTTATTCGCCTCTTCATTCTTTCCTGAGCCCATGCTATAATTTAGGCTGGTCTGACTGCCACCCCCATTTATCTTTGTTTATGAGTGGAAGAGGTGCAAAAACCTTTGTTTTGAGCCATGGAGGTGCTGAACAGGTCAGGCTTTTCAGGCTGTTCCTCCAACAGTCCACATGATGGTGTTGCTGCTTGTCTAAATGGGTTGGTGTTGATATTTTCTAAAACTAGCATCCCCAGTTTTAGTTCAATTGATGGGTACAGCGCCCTAGGGTTTTTTTCCTCCATATTAAGGAGGTCCCTTCCTTTGAGGCTGTCTGTTCTGGCCCCGGATACGGGGGCAGAGACGACTTCACTTACTGTGTGACTGCTCTACCCCTCACTTCCGGTGTTGCCTGTTCCAGAGTGTGTTTTAATCCCTTGTCATGACACGATTAATTTTTCACTCTTTCTCAACAGTTTCTCCGCTTCTTATTCTTTCTACATATTTTTTGTTACTTCCTGTCTCAGCGTTCGCAGTTGTTTAAATAAAAATCCTCCTAAAGGTTTGCAAGGACTCAGTGGGGCTTTGTTTTACTACTGCCTGAGTCATCTTCTCTTTTTATTTTTTCTGATGTTTTCTTTGTCAAGTCGTCATGGTCCTTCAGGTATGTTACTTGTTTGTCGATCTGAGTTTCAAGAGGGAGCCAGGGTCCCTGAAGTGTCAATGTCTGCGTCAAAGTCATTGTTCATTTTGTCACTTTTTGTCAGTCTAACGTTATATTTTACACCAAATGACTCGTTTTCTCACTCTGCGGTGAGAAAACTCAAGCTCGCTCAGCGGCGAAGCAATTAAACCACCAAAATCACACTGCAAAGAGCTTCTCCTCAAACACACACACACACCCACACTCTTTGCTGCGCAGCTCTTTCACTCACTTCAGTCACTCTCTCTTGTCCGATCTCATTTTGAACAGCTTTCAGTTTTTCTCACAATCATTAACAAAAATAAAAACCCTTTCTTCAATAATCATCAGAACCTATCATTACCATTTAAGTTTCTCTGATAGTTAAAAAAATACACTTGAATAATCATCAGAACCTGTCATCACCATTTAAGTTTCTCTGATAGTTAAAAAAATACACTTGAATAATCATCAGAACCTGTCATCACCATTTAAGTTTCTCTGACAATTAAAAAAAAATACATTTCAATAATCATCGGAAATTGTCATCACCATTTAAGTTCCTCTGACAGTTCAAAAAATACACTTCAGTAATCATCGGAACCTGTCATCACCATTTAAGTTTCTTTGACAGTTCTCACACATGTGTGGTCAACTCTTGTTCTTATTTGTGGGCAGTCACGTTCCACAAGAAAACTCAATCCAACCTGGCTACCTTCCCCTGCGTCCTGGAAGAAGTTTGGGGCACCACTCCCGACTGACAGAAGTCCCCGACTTCGTTGACTCACAGAGGTCCCAGACCCCAGGCCAGGTCCCCGACTTGCCGCTTTTAATCACAACTTGTACTTTCTAATCCTTACACAAGCTTACAACCGATATATTACTTAAAAAACTTTTACACTCAATCTTTACTGATAAAAAATATTTTTGAACACGATCACTCAGTGCAACGCCACAGAGAGGAAAAATATAGTTCCTCTTACCTGTTTGCCGGCCTGTGGAATCACAGTGAACAACCGTGTTGATGTCCAATTCTCCGGTTACCAATCATCCTTCTCTAGTATCCTGGGTTTTCAGCACTAAAATTGTTGAGGAAAATCAACACAACAACTCAGACTTTTCAGCCTATTCACCTGTTCCTCTCATTGGTTCGGAGATATATGGAGAAAAGACACAATAATCAGTCAGAGAGATTCAAGTTAAAAAGTATTACCAACATTTATTAAAGCTTTCTGCTGAAAGGAGACATTCTTACCCCAAACCAACAAAGATACAGCAAAAACCCAAGACACGTCTGACAGGAGCTTTTGTTCCTTCTGTATTTAAACACAAAAGCTCCACCCAGAGATGTGTCACACATTCTTACAGTTCTTTGTCTAAACTAGTTCAAACTGATGTCTTCATTGCCTGGAAGTCCTTTTATGGAGTTGTTTTATTATTTTCTTCTGCTGTTTCAGTTTACTGGTGATCTTGTCATCAGGTGAGACACACACCAGCAGCTCCCTGTTAGTTCATGTCCCGTACACAAAAAACTCAAATACATTCTCTGACTTAGTTCAATCTGTACTTGTTGATACCAAAAGGCAAGCAGATCAAAAAGCCAAGCAGATACAGATAAAGGACAAGATACAGTTGTGATACATCGAGCAATACAGCACAGCAGATAAGAGCATCTTTACACTTGTTTTGTCCATGATGTTTTCATTTGTTTATTTTTATGAAATACTGAACAGTTGAAATTATTAAAATGTAATGATTTGATTGAATATAGTATTTTACAAGTCATGTATAAAGCTCATTAAAAATATTACCTTTAAATATTCAATTAAAATTTATTTAAAAAGAGAGTCATTATAACCTTAAGGGAATATAAATGTTTGTAAAACCTCCATTTAGAACTAGTCTAAAGGAGCTGTGTTGTAATGCAGGGAACAGGATAGTGCAATTGTTTTGATATCACCATAAAAATTTCTAAAACAATTTATATGTTTAAAAAGATGATTAAGTTAAAATTGTTAGGAAAGTATGGTACCATGTGAAGAATGCCTGATGTTTTTGTTTTCACTTTGGAGATTGTTCAAGCCTAAGTTGTTGTTTATTTGTAGTTATTTTATATTTTTTCAACAAGGGGCAGATATTATAAGAATTTTTTTCTTCTTTCTGCACACTTTTCATTAAATGTTTTTTCTTTTTGATTAATTTGTTTTGTTTCTTTTAAATGAATGCATAAATGAATTAAATATATAAAAAAAGAATCATTAACATCAACGTCTGACTTGTGTTAAATACGGAATGAACAACAAGGTCTGGCAATGAAACCTTTGTCTGATTCAAGCTACTTCAGAGAGAGTTGTATTTTCGGATAACTGCCCTTATTAAAATGAATGAAAACTATGAGCCTTGATGAAAATAATTTGATTCATTAGGTGAAAAAGCAGGCAGCACGGTGGCTCAGTTAGTAAAGCTGTTGATTCTCAGCGAGAAGGTCGCCTGTTCAAATCCTGGCCAGGGGCCTTTCTAGGTGGAGTCTGCATGTTCTCTCCATGCTGCGTGGGTTTTGTCTGGGTACTACAGTTTTCTCCCACAGACTAAGAACATGCATGTTAGACTGATTAGTAACTCTAAATTGTCCCTAGGTGTGAGTGAGAGACTGAATGGTTGTTTGTCTCATTTGTCTCCATGTGTCCCTGTGATGGACTGGAGACCTGTCCAGGGTGCTCCCCCGCCTCGCACAGTGACTAATGGACATGGGCACCAGTGATCCCCGTGACTCAAAACAGAAGAAGCAGGTAAAGATAATGAATGGATGGATGATGAATGGATGAATGGATGGATGGATGGCGGTGAAAAAGTAACTTTAAAATGATTTCAAAGAAATATGTACAACCATCTCATAGATGTCAGACAGCTACTTCAATAATGAAAAGCTAAATTATTTTGGCCACGTGTACTTTGAGATGACTGAACAGACACTCTGAAGTTTCCGTCAGTTCACTCATCTTCTTCTTGAAGTAATGGCTGTGAAACAGAGGAGATAAAAGAGAATTAAGATAAGTTTTACTAAACCAAATCTTCAGCTAACAGAGATCTTCTCACCGTGTAAGTCGTGTCCTCTGGCCTGGAATCCAGTCTTTGCCATTTACTGTTCCATAGAATGTTGAGGACAACCAAAGCAAAGGCTACAATCAAAGCTCCTAAAGAGTTCCCTAAGACCGCCTCAGGAGGAAGGCTGCTGTAAGGCTCAGCTCCACTCATGTTAGCTTTCCTGTGGAAGTTAAACGCATCAGGGAACATGAACAGTGTTTCATCATAAAACTTGTAAAAAAATCAGGCAAAAAACAAAAAAACGGCAACACTTACAGGACAAAGAAGAGTTTCTCATTGATACCAGAGATGCAGGCAGCAACACTGAGCAGCAGAAGGCTGCAGCCCAGCCACACATGCACAGGTTTCAGGACTTTACGTATTGATAGAGAGGAGCAAGGCAGCAGGAAGCCTGCAAATCCCCCCACCCACTGCCCAACACCGGTTGGACAAAAAGGAGGAAAAGTATCACAATTAGTTAACTGTACAACTATTCAGTTTCTCTATGGAGTTTTGTGTACCTGCATGGCAAACAGAGCCACAGCTGCAATTCCAATCCAGCTGTGTAACGAGTACAGGTTGGAACCCTTATGGGCATTGTGGACGTCAAAGACAGCATAGAGTCCCACAACTGCCAAGATGAGGGATGAGAGCATCAGAGCTGCATGGACCAGCTTCCAGGAGAGTTTATTCTGACCCCAGGTCAGAGGAATCCGATACAGCACTGCTCCTGCACACACAAGACAAATCAGAGATGTTTGTCTTCAAACAGTTAACACTCACTGACAAAAAACAGTTCATTTGGTGCACAACAGAGTCACGCCACCTTCAGATCCTCAGAACTGTGTCAGAGTTCACGTTTAAACAGATCTCATATGTTAAGTTGTGGAAAGATGGGACCTGGCTCACTCCAGGAGGACCTCAGTATGAAATGGACACACATGTCGTGTGTGGACTTGTGTTGAAAGACTAGACCAGGGTTCTGCCATTGGAGGGGTAAGACATGCAGACAGAGTATCAATGATGCAGAGATGTTAAAAATATCTAGGTATCTCAGGTTCCATGTTTCTAACACCCATACTGCAGCCTTGACTTATTTCTCCAAAAACAGGTTAAATGTGTGACAGAGATATCCCTTGTATAGCTTTCAAAATGTGACCTTTTTTTTTTTTTGCTACAAAGTTGCTGTAAATCATCATAGGTGTTCCTTCAGTAATACACATGTTGTTGTTTTTCCCAGTTGAGTGGTTTCACAGATCATGTCATCACGTCACCGCATCTTATGGAGCTTTGCCACAGTCTCAACTCCCATCAGTTCCGTGCATCACCGCAGCAGTTAAGGGCCTGCCTACTGCCAGGACCCACCCCCACTCAGCCCAGTTTCTAAGCAGACTGCTCCGAGATGATGATTTCAGACAACAGCCATTGATTGCCAGCAAGTGCCTGTTGGTTGAGCCTTGGCTCCTGGGGTTTGGCTGGGCCAAGCTTGAAAAATAAGCAGGATGCCACCTCTGCATGGACCCACCTGTGAAGAAGACTGTCAAATTTGAGTGACATGCAAGCCAGAGAGCTGAGGAGAGAAGGTGCCTGGCTGTGCTGATTCCTGTTGGCCAGGACTAGCTAAAGGGATGTGGAATGTCACTTCATTAGCAGGTAAGGAGCCAAAACTTGTGTGAGGTTGAGCAACACCAACTAGATATACCGGTAGTTGGGCTCACATCTACACATGGCTTGGACTCTGACACTCAGCTTCTGGAGAGAGGTTTAACTCTCTTACTTTAGGGTTGCCCAGGGAGAGAGGAGTCAGGCAGGTTTGGCAGTAGTCCCTGGTCCGTGTACATTTGGGCAGTTCGTTTTTTCATTTGAAACAAAAAATAATGAAAAAAAAAACACTTTTTTCATTTTCCGTTTATTAAACTAAAATGAAAAATCGGATAATGAAGAGTCATCCGATTTCCGATTTTGTACACACAAAACGAAAATGGAAAAAACGGATAATGAGCGCTCAGTTTCGATTATCATGATTTCATTTTGACAAGTGGTCTGACTCGGAAGTTCTCTCTGTCCCAGCAAGTTTGGAATGCGGAAGTCATGTGGGTCATACATCTACAAATAGTTCCAAACAGCAGCAGTTCCATCACTGAACGTAGTTCATTCCCAGTGATTCTGAAGCTGATGAAAATACAACACTCTTTTGCCATTGTGAAGCGTTAGCTGACTGCTCTGTACCAGAATTTATCAACATTGTAGTGGACTAGGCCTATGTCAAAACTGAGTCTTGGGTCAAAACTCTTGACCTTTAGGACCTTGTGGGACAGGAACTGTCATTTCATTCATTTGAACTCAGAAATACAGGTTCACCCATCCTGAGACTTTCTTTCTTGAAGATTCAAGTGAAAAGAACACTCTCTTTTTATTATCATTACTATTTTACAAATATTGATAATCAAAGTGTCTTAGTTCAAACCATTTTAGATGTTGCAGTGCACTAATCAATTTTATTAACTGAGTAATGATTTTTATTCTCATGTCAAAGCTGTTACAGAATAATTATGCATTTTCTGATTTCTGCCTTTGAGTGAGCAAGTGTGCGTTTCCAAGGTTGGAGTCAAACGAAAAACAAGTTGTTGAACGAACTGTCATGTTTTTTAGAATCCTCTCAGACGTAAATAGAGAAGTTTTAGCACCTGTTTCTGAAACGCGCCAAAACAAAACTCTCTCTGTCTGTGAGAACATTTCTGATCTGTTTCATAACAATTCTCGCTGTCTCTAACCTCTTACGTCACAAAACACACCCCGTCTGGTCGTTTCTGACCAATGAACAAATCCCAAAAGTGAACCGGGAAAGAGTCTTTAAAATGTCAGTACTTCCTGGTCTACTCAAGTTTCGAGTTCTGATGGAGTGCTGATGGAGTTCTGATGGAGAGTGTTTTTGCTGGTTCTGCTCGAGCTCTGTTGAGTTCTACTGGAGCTCTGCTCGAGATGTTCTGTTCTGTTCAGTTCTGGACAGTTCTGTGGATGATCCTGACATGACAAAAAGCTCTTCCGAGTTCCATGGGATTATAACACTTTCACTAGCCATTACTTCGGACGAGTAACAGCCAACCTACTGAGACGCTGAAAGGGTGCGTTAAACGGAATCTCACCTGAGACATCTCCAGGTAAAGGAGCCGATTTCATCACCTAAGTGTACTGTAAGGAAAAGCTGAAGAAAGCCGGAGAGTGTCGATTCTGGTGAACATTTCTCCTCTCACACACCATCTTACTCCCTCTAAACTTCTTTCCATCTTTAAACTTTTCTATCAAGTAGAAATTCTTCCAGATATTTTAGAAATGTCTGTGTAAAATGCTCACCCACATTCATGTGGGTAAAAGATCATAGTTGTACAGTTTTCATAAATGTCTGTGGTGAAGCAACGGAAAAATCATGGCCGTATGATTTTTCCTGATTGATTGCTTATGTTGTTATTTTCATAATTTGCCAAATTAATGTAAATGTTTGATGTTAAATTTTGATTCTGTAAATAAATGACCGCATTCATTTTGATGGGTCAAACATAAATGACGTCTCACGTTTGCATTTCCTTAAATTCAATGCACGTTTTATTCAGTCCAGAAAAATGAGGAATCCGTGTTAAATGATGAATATATCTGAGCATCTGTTCATCTACAA